TCGCAAGCAACCCTCGTTCTACTCCTATTGCGATCTAATCTCAATGAGGATCCTTCTTGGATTCGCTCGAAAGCAATCCCCTTGATTCGCTCGTAGCAATCTCCCATCTCCTTTGTCGATCGAAATCGAAATCGCGATGAGGATTATATTAAACGATGGACTCCTAGGAGTCCACCCTTTTCGATACGATCAACGAGCGCTAAAAAGACGCTACTAATACTGTATACTAGCTACCGTACTTGCTATGCTACTCTGTTATCTCTATCACCGCTGTATCTTCGGCAAAGCATTGCCTCATCCCATCATCACGTCGATCGATCGATCAGGGAGTTAACAGAATTTATCAAAAATGGGCTCCGACTGGATATGGAAGCTCGGTTGTGTGTTCTGTCTCTTGAGTTCATCATTTCATTAACTATTATGATTCGAATCGCCTGAGCTTAATCTTTTCTTGAGTCATGCTTCTCCTCACTTTTTCATTAACTCGACGGAGACGCACACTGATGTACGTGATGTTTTTTCGAACGTATCCATCGCTATTCGAACGATCCATGCAGTTGGTCTTTCTTACCTAGGACTGGCAGCGAATCCAGGGGATCAACGAGGGGATTGCTTGCGAGCGAGTCCAGTCGAGAAAAGGGGTTACCACTGATGATAACAAGGGGTAGACATATAAGAATAAGAATGAGTAACATCTCATAACCTCGCATGCTACCATGCGACAATACCATTGTGCATTGACTAGTCTAAGGATCTAAGAGATGTAAAGTTTGTATTTCCAAATAAGTGAGCAGTTATTGATTATTTTCTAGAATAAGCCTGCTAATTGTAAAGCTGTAAAGCTGAATTGTAAGCTGTATCCCGTCGCAGTGCTAAGAACCTCATTGCTGAGTCCATAAGCACAATATACCAGCTGGCTTCGACCGTCCAGGAGCCTATTCTGGAGCTCCGGGGGCGGCCTACGAAGCTATGGCGCCAGCAAGCTTACATATGCAGGATATTCAGGCTGCCATCACAGTAGATCCAATGGTAGACCCCAGTGACAGTGAGACTGACGAATTTGGCACCAATGAATCCCACGTTTCTTTACATCCTCAAGCCAACACCAACTTTCCAACAATTTCTGCAGCGCAAGCAAACCATGCAGGGGCCCAAGATAGTGCAAGCAGCAGCAATGCCAGCAATATTGGACTAGCGGTTGCAGAGCTGGTGCAAGAGGATGACATGCCGCGGCAACATGCCGCAGAAGTTCAAATGGATGAATCGATACAAAGGAAGCAAGGATCAATGAAACGATTCAAAATTTGGATTCTGTTGGGAGGCATTCTCTTCATCACTGCTGTTGCAGTATTGATTGCAGTTCTTGTCAGTGGAGGCACACCAGATGAGTCTGAGTCACAGTCGTCATTGGAGACACCAGTCAACATTTCTGATTCTCAACCATCAGGTATGGAAGAGATGGAACAAGCCTTACTGACTCTATTCCCAGAAGAAACTGTTCAGGCCATCAAGGGAGACTCAGAGTCCCCCCAATCTCAAGCACTCCAATGGCTGATTGCTGACATTGACAGCCAAAAACAAGTGCCATTTAATGACCAAATCAAGCAACGGTTTGCTTTGGCTACACTCTACTTTGCCACCAGCGGAGCCTCATGGACCAACAATGAATTCTGGCTTGACCACAACATCCATGAGTGTGACTGGTTTATCAAGCCAGACTTTGCTTTGAAGGGAAAAGTGTCTCAATTTCTCAATGGTTACCTGAAAGAAATGTTTCCTCCAACTGACCCGCCTCCAACAACTTGCAATGCCCATGGGTTGTTTCAGAATCTCTGGTTGGATGAAAACAATCTGCGTGGTACACTGCCAGAGGAACTCTTCTGGCTATCATCCCTTGAGACTCTCTCATTAGGAGCCAACAGTCTACGTGGGAGTATTTCTAGCCATATCGGAAAGCTGACCTCATTACAAGGGCTGGCAATTTCATTCTTGCGCAATGCTGGGATGATTCCAACCGAACTTGCCTTGCTCACAAATCTGGGTTCTTTGGGATTAAATGACAACTGGCACACTGGATCAATTCCCACTGAGATATGGCAGCTGACTACTCTGCAAACACTTGGTCTGAGCCTAAATCCTGATTTAAAAGGCACCATTCCAACTGAGATTGGATCCCTTCCCAAGCTGAGATGGATGAACCTTGATGATTGTGACATCTCTGGTGGGTTTGCTGAGGTTACTGTTTGTGCTCATGGTGATCGGTATTGAACAGCTCACAACTTCTCCATATTTATTACACTCAGGCAGCATTCCCACAGAACTTGGCAAGTTGGAATATCTGGAATGGATGGTTCTTGAGAGGAACAGGTTGACTGGGACAGTGCCGTCAGAACTTGGTGTACTTCCCAGTATCTTGTTGATGTCTTTTTACAACAACTCTCTTCAGGGAACCTTGCCAACCGAGCTGGGACTCCTAACATCGCTCACACTGCTGAATGCTCGTAACAATTCTCTTTTTGGCTCTATTCCAAGTGAATACGGCCTTCTGTCCTCCTTGGCGTTGGGTCTTGAACTCCAAGACAACCTTCTCTCTGGTACAATACCAGTGCAACTAGCCAACCTGGTCAATATGTGGAGACTTAGTTTGCAAGAGAACCAACTCTCTGGCCACATACCAAGTGAATTTGGCAAGATGTTAGTTTTGGGACTGTTGAATCTTGCCAACAACTCCCTCTCTGGAACTGTGCCTCAAGAACTGGGAGAACTGAAACAATCACTATTTTCTTTGAACTTGGAAGGAAATTCACTCTTGTCTGGAGAACTTCCAGATCCCCTTTGTAGCCTTGATGGCTATTGTTTTGGTGTTGCATCCTTGCCCTGTTACAACTATGGTGTCCATTTTGACTGTGGCAACTTGATATGTGGCTGTGGATGCCCTTGCGACGATAACTAGCTATAGGTCGCAATTGAGTTCTTTCATTTTTGAAGGGCTATCAAATGGCCGGCAATGTTCTATACGGTACATGCAGTAGCAAATGCCTATTCATTTCATGCCTTGCCTACAAGGCTAAAGGTAGGGAGGAGAAGCACCCCCGCCAAGAGGGCATGGTTCAGTCACTACAGTACTTGCCATCGTGTGAAGGTCACAGGTTGTCCACTTTTTTTTTAACATGTACAACTTGGAGTTTTGTCTCCCCTTGCCCTGAACCCTGCTTGTTTTCGCAGCCTCGCAACCTGAGCCATTGGCAAGGCCATCATCGCCATGGCTATTGTCATGGTGCCAGTCAACCGTGGCTTTGTCGTTCCAGACTTGCTTGATGATTGTACATTGTACTGGTGCCTTGGTTGCTTGTTACCGGTAACGGTTAAGCCATTGAAACAGCAATGTCATTTGAATTTTTAAAAATAACCGTTCTGAGTGAACGAGAACGCAATGGTCTTCCGATCATCAAATAGCTAAAGAAGACAATGAAGATGAAAGCCTCACTACTGTGGGCCCTCCTTATTGGCCTTTCCAATCTCTTGCCTGCCTTATCACAACAGGATGAACTGCCTTCCACTGCACCCTGCTTCATGCTATCGGCAGATCCTGCCAACCGGAATGAGTTTGTTTTATCGAGTTCTCCTCCCACTGGAACCAATTGCATGCAGACGCCCAAAGATGGGTACTATCGGTTGACCATCACGCCCGACCTGCCGGGTCGCTATGAGATGCAAGAAGAAGATTCCGGACTTGGCTATGCCTGGTCGTATCCGGCTTTAGGCATTCATTACTGTGTGGACGCGGGTAGCACATTGACGTTGGTCGACTTTGTGGAAGGCGCCATTATGCTGGTGACAATGGCACGGCTGCCTCCCGGCGAGACCTGCAACCCAGAGATTATCGGCTACGATCCGGAGTATACACCTGTGGAACCTCCCGAGGTTCCTCCCAATGGCGCCGGTTGGTCCACACCACGCTATTATCTCAAGGCGGACTATTTTGGATATACCGTGGCGGGAGAAGCAGGCGTTGTTATTACCATGGAAAACGCTGACAATGTGGAAATTGGAGGAGATCATGGGGGGGACGAATACCATAGCATTGAAGTCCAGTGGTACCTTGATGAACAAGAGAAGCGGTTCTATGGCTTTATCGAATCGAATGGGACTCACTGGAACATGTACGAAGTCAGAGTGTACAACAGCAACGGTGAATGGGAGTATTTTGAAGGTTTGGAGGGAGTGGTGGCTGGGAAACGCGGCGAATGTTTCTATCAATCCGCTCTAGTGCTCACCAATGACCGTGGAAGCGAGGTTCGATTCTCCAATCTCGTCTTGGCTGTCTTTCTACCATGGGACGAACAACAACAGCCATCCGTAATGGCAGGACGATCAAGTGCCGCTCCTGAAATCTGTCCGGATCCCTTTATTACAGATTCTGCTAATGACCGTACTGAAGACGATCAAGGAGGAGCTGTCGTGGTATCGGTTGGGGTAGTACCAGCTTCCAGTGCTCCAAGTTATTCAGGAGCCGCCGTACTGACTTGGATAGTACTGGCATTCTGTATTAACAGCTTGCTGCTCTCTGCTAGCTAGCTACACTGTGTAGATGAAGTTGCTCTTGCTGCTGCCGCCTAATCTGAACCCATTGATCTATCGATTCAAATGCAAGGCATTACCCTAATAACTTGTTGAATGAAACAGCCTCATTACTTCTCGAGCATTTCTACTAGTATGTATGTACGCCTCTTGTGGTGTGCTGTCTACATCATCCTAGCTATACTACGTTTCATACCGTACTGTTTGTTTTAATTCAACTGCTGAGTTACATACATATTTTCATTGTCATCCCACTACTTCTGTTACTTGGTTTCTTCCGCTTTCTTGGTATTGTCGTATAAAGACGGCATTTGGAATTTGTATTGCGCCCACTTTTCAGGATTGGTGATCAATGCGACCATGGCGTGGGCGACATTGGATCGCAGTGCGACGCCAGCTCCAAAAAGACCTCCAGGTGGTTTGTCGTAGAGGGTATAGTCGCCCGTGGGAGGACCATTGATTAAATCCGTAGGGCGTACCACGCACCATTCCACTCCGCCACTGGTTCCCAAGGAAGAATGAAGGTAGGCGGCAGCCGCTTCATTGTCGGCATGGGGAGGAATCAAATGGCGTAGCAAAAACAAGACGGTTCTCTCTCCCCTCGTGCGAGGATCATCTTGTCCATTGGGATTGGACACACCGTCGGAACCCATGAGCAGAAATTTGGCCTTTTTATTGTCCGATTTGGCAATGGCCGTGGTCAGTCGTTGGACAGCTTCCGTGACGAGTTTCCTGGGATGACCCCACAACCCCTTAAAGTCCACGGTGTGGCCCAAACAGGAAACCACGGCATCACAATCCTTCACTTGTTCTTGGATTTCCTCGTCCGAGAGATCCAACAACGACGCCTCGGTGACGGTGAGATGGTCCGTGGAAGTCTTTTTAGTGTCGTCGGAATCCAACTCTTGAAGGACACTGAGCATGCGATCTTTGGAACGAGCAATCACTTTCACATGGTTGCCTTGGTCCAGCAGCATCTTGACCACCCATTTCCCAGTGGCTCCCGTTGCTCCAACGACGAGGGTTGTAGTAGTACTAGTATTAATAGTAGAGGTAGAGGACATGATGTTGACTTGACTTTTATTATTATGAGTGGATCAAGCAGACCAACTTGAGAGTTTTTAGAGGAAAGAAAGGGAGGGATGCTGTACTCGTACTCGTAGAACAGGCAGCCGGAGGCTGAAGCCCCCACCTGGATTTTAAGAAAATATCCAGCTATTACAGGGGCCTCAACGCCTCAACGCTTCACAAAGAAATCAATACATGTAGACATTCAAAAGTAAAGAGATGGAAGAGACTAACTCATCTATGGAACAGGCTAAGAGTTTCCGTGATGGTAAGCGAGAGGCCGACAGACTCAGGAAGAGAGTAATACGTGCAAAACAGTCAAAAGAAGAGAAGGATGCTATAAAGGCGGCCACTAGAGAAAGAGTTCAAAAGCTTCGAGAGAGACGTCGACAAGCAAACGATACCTCTGAGCTAAATGCAAACTGGAAAAGAATGCAAGAGAAGCGTGTGCAGCAAACAAATGAACAGCACGAGGCTGACAAACAGAAAGCTAAGGAAGGCATGCAAAAAATGCGAAGTAGACGTGAGAAACAAGAGAAGAATCACCCCTTTGTTCTGAAAAAAAAGAAAAGAATTTAAAGAAGCAGCAAAAAACAAACATTGGAAGGAAACTGATATTAGCTTTAAAAAATGGATGGCATCCCAAGAAGATGAACTAGACTGCCTTGCAGAAGATTATCGCAATCAACCAGGAGTTATGTTCAGAAGACATGCTCGAAAATATGATTATCGAAAGGAAAACAATCCTCGTGATACTATGGTAGATGACCATGGATTCAGAGCTTTTTTTGGCAGGGTTTCTGCAAGCACAAGCACAAGCACAGCCACAACCACAACCACAACCACTAATGAAAACAACAGTACTGATGAGAAAGAAGCATTTGCAAAAATGGCAATGAAATACACCGAGTATTATCATAAATGGAAAGCTCAAGCTGAGGCACAGGAAAAACATCTTCAAAGATCACTTTCTTTAAGCTCATATGATCGCAGTGAAGCTCAAAAGCAAATTGATTGGTTTAAGTATTGGGCTGATCTTTCTAGTCGGGCAGCTCATTATTATTTCCACTCAAATTCAGACTCAGAGCTGTTGTTCCAGTTACCACCAGCACCACACGCCTCTAGGGCAGAACAAAAACAATGGCAGCATCAATACAGCTGAGAAAATAGCTTTCTATTAGTTCGGAGCTAAATATCAAATCAATTTCATTGTTAGCTTACATCTAATTTCTACCTAGCTTCCATGAGCACTGCAGCTGGTACTGTGTCCAACAAAACACAGCTTCTTAATTTTATGTGTTGGCTTATATCTCAATCTCAGTTCTGGTTTCAAGCTACTGTGTTCAGTTGGACACAGTCTCTCGATTTTTGCTATTGTGTTTAACTGAACACTGTTTAAAGCTACTGTGTCCAACTGAACACAGTCTCTCAATTTTACCTAACTGTGTCAAACTAAACACAGCTCCATACAAGGGAAACTTCCCCTTATGTGACGGACGTACACACTAACCAGCACACACAGAGACGTACACACTAACTAGCACACATACACACCTGCCGATAAAAGTTGGAAGAACCCCCAGGACCGTTGTGGAACGGTAGTCGCGCGGGTGTGGGACTGAAAATATCCCACGACTGGATTCCGTGCGCGCGATCAGCTTCTAAATCAGCTCTTGATGACGTGGCGGGATCGTTTTTTATTTAGAAGCTGGTTTAGGAGCTGACTCAAAGATTTAAGAGCCGATCCTGGTCGGCTCTTATTTTTAGGGTTAGATTTAGAAGCCGATCGTGATTTGGAGAGGACCAACAGCAAACACACTATCTAGCTATTGCAATAGTAGCTAACCACCTCCATCAAGATGTCGGATCTTGACGACTCAGACGACGATAGCAATGCTGACATTATCGTGTTAACCCCTAAGGAGATGCTGAAGAAGGGGCTGAAGTTTGCCGGGGTCAAGAAGAGAAGTATCAAAAGGTGCAAGGATGAGACCAACAGGCAAAAGTTTATTGATCGGTATGGCTCCAGCCCGGAAGTTGTTTGCCATATCTGGGAGGATTTGCAAACAGGTTCTGACCCTGTTCCTCCCAGCAAAAGGAATGTTGAGTACTATTTGCATGCTATGCACTTTTTGAAGCGGTACCATGAAGAGAGCGAGAGGGCTATCGATACCGGTTGGCACAGGGACACATGTCGCGATTGGGCTTGGTATTATGTCGAGAGAATCCAAGCTCTCAAGAAGGACAAAATTCTCTGGCCTGAAAACGATGATATCATAGCTGCGACAGTCGACGGGACGCATTGTTGGATACACGAACCTGGTCATCCAGAGTTTTCACAAGACAGTGAGTTTTTCTCTCACAAATACAACAAAGCTGGTTTGAACTATGAGTTAGGAATGTCTTTGAAAGAGAGCCGTTTGATTTGGATGAATGGACCTTTCAAGGCGGGAGAAAGTGACATGGTGACCTTCCGCGAACGGGGCCTCAGAGATTTGCTGCGACAATCATCACAGGTGGCCATCGCCGATGGTGGTTACCATGCTGAGGAGGATTTTGACTGTCTCAGTCTTCCCAACAACGTTGATACACCCCTTGTTAAGAAATTCAAACGGAGAGCGCTGAAACGCCACGAGAAGTTTAATGGCATGACCAAGACCTTCTGTTGCCTTTCGCAGCGTTTTCGACACTCGTGCTCGAGATTCGCAAACTGCTTTGAAGCAGTTTGCGTAATCTGCCAGTATCAGATGGAGCATGGCACTCCGTTGTGGAACGTTCTTGTTGAAGGAATGTAGTTAGTTTAACGATTACTAGTTGCTTGCTTTATTCTTGTTGTTAGAAAGCCTTCATCATTGCACTAGCTACCGAATATCATTGAGCCAACAATCAACCCTATTATTTATGTTTCTTACTCCTTGCTTTGTGCCACCAAATAAATTCCTTGGCTTTGTTGTTTGATAGCATTGTTGTGGTTTCTCTCACTTAATAATCACCACCAACGGCGTCACCGTCGTCTTCTGCAACTCGATCCCCGTCACCGTCGTCTTCTGCAACTCGATCCCCACCACCGCTAAGATCGTCGATATCATCCAAATTGCGCTTCTTTTGTAGTGACATCAAAGCTTTCACATCAGCAGCAACTTCCACCAAATCATCGAGAGACTGATTCAAGCTGTCGTTGTTACCGTTGTTTGTTGATTGGCCAAGTCCTACTCCACTAGCGACAGCTCGTCCTAATGAAGAGAAGATTCCCATGTTGCCAAGTGGCGCAGGAGTAGGATCACGAGCCGGAAGCATCGGAGCGTCATTATCATAGTCAAAATAGTCGTCATCGTCATCTTCATCTTCATTATTCCCATTGTCGTTGTCATCGTCATCGCCACCATGAACCAGCAAAGCATCACCTAACACACGCATACGTAGTAGAGCAATAACAAGCAACGATAATCAATGCTGTTTAGACTGACAAGAACTACAATGCTATGTGCTCAAAACTCCATGCTCGTACCATCTGCTTTGGAAATATCGAGCCCCAAATCCTTGAGCTGTTGAGCGGCAGCACTAAGAGCCGCTTTTTCATCCTCGATCTTGCCTTTCTTGCGAGACTGCAAATCAGAGCGACAGACAACAAAACGGCAATAGTACTCTTCGATCTCTTTGCCGGTATGGTCCTTGCTCTTGATCTTGACAATATTCGACTTAAGCTTCTCGTCCTCTGTAGCCTCCTCAAAGATATTGGATGAGTTGATTGCCTCACCATCAAACTTGAGCCTGTAATGCGCAAAGAATTTCTCATCTTTCTCCTTCTTGAAGCGATCTTGCGAGTCATCAAGGGCTTGGACCAGGTTGTCGGGTTCACCATTAGCTGGCAAGAAGGCATCACGATTCTTGTACAAGTTGAAATCCCATGCTGGAAGCGAAATCAAAACTGTGTCCGTAGCAAAGATACGACCATGGTAGAAGGATTTCTTGAGGTCACTCAAAATCCAACGAAGATCAACTTTCAAAAGGATAATATAACCCCAGAACATGCGACCAGCCTCCTTGCCCACACCTTCTAGTGTTTGTTGGACGTTGAACACGTAAAAGGGACCATTCGCAAAGGCCCTATCGGTATCAACCACAATCTCGTCTGACAAGAAACCAAAAAAAGCAAGCAAACAGCAAACAAAGTCAGGCAAATCCGAGCGAGGACTTCGAACGATGATCAACAAGTGTCAACGCATTGGTCGACACTCACGGTACTTTGTAGCTGGCATTTTGAAATGGCTAACTTGCTCTTCTGGCACCGGCGATGGCTTTTTCTTATCAGGAACAAGCTTGGGGACCTTGGGTGTCTTGAATGGTGATTTCTTGGCTACTGCACTCCCTTTCTTGGTGGCAGCTCTTGGTGTCTTGGAGGAAGAAGATGGGGTCTTCTTCTTTCCTGTAGAAATTTCCTTGGGAATTGGTGGTGGTGACTTAGGCAAGGGCAAGTCGTCTTGATCGTTTTCGAGTGAGCTTGCACTTGAATCCGATGACGAAGACAAACCTGGATCTTCGGAGATCTTGTACCTATGAAGAACCCGGCTCTTCCACTGATCCTTCGAATAGCGCTTCCAACGAGTTACCTTCTGGGAGATTTGTCTTCGAAGCAAGTCTCCGGCTATGCCGTAGTGTTCAGGACTGTTTTCCGACGAATCGAGGAACTTCTGCAACGCTTTCGGCCCGAAAAGTTTGCTGGGCCCACCAATTCGACGCTGCAGTTCTTTGGCAAGAGTCTTCTTGAGATACAACGGCAAACCGGGGCGGCTTCCTGTTGTGCTGCTGCCTACACTTGTTGCTGATGATGCTCTACCCTTGTTAGGAGAGAACACTTCCTCGGAGCTTGTGCTACCACCACCTCGAGTTGTTACCATTGTGTTGTTTTTGGATCCAAATTGAAGGTGGCAGCTATGCGTTCAAGTCTACACAATTTTAGTACGAAACATTGCTGAACCTAGCAAAAGGGCGCCAGCGCAAAAAGATTGTGCCAAAAGCACCAGCCTGACAATGACCACTACCACACAAGCCAAGTCTGTTCATTTAGACAAGCCAGAATTGCATGCGTTTGCAGCGGGAAGACAGGCTCGTGGTTGGACCGCCCTTCCAAGAGTCTTCCCTTCACAATCAATTTCCAATCTTGACCGTACCAACGCTTCTTCTTGAGCAAGAAGAAGAATGCGAAGCAAGAGGAGAAGCAAGAAACAAGCCCCTCCTCCTATACCAGAGGATGCAGAAGTGCCCGCAGAGGAGCTGAAAAGGGCTGCTGTTGACCCAGACGAAGATTGGGAACACAGTGAAGCTAGAAAGCTTTTATTCCAAGATTTGTGTGATGGGGTGGTTCCTGATACGGTTGATCCATCGATGCCAACACGACAAATCTTCGAAAGCCGACCAGAATACGCTGCGCAGGGATACAGAAACTTCTCTAGTCGATTGTCTAGTCTTCGGAGGATTTTCAGAAGAGATAAAGATCGAGCAGACTGCGACGAAGAACGTTTTAATAATTTCAGAGCCAACAATGTGGTGCACACTCATAGTGCCTATGGGTATCCTGAATGGGATGGATCGAAGGCACAAAAGCAGCTGAAAGAAGACATCGCCGCTGGCATTAATGATCAGCTTGAACCGTCGGAGCTTTGGTGTTTGCGTGAAGAGTACGACGATTACCCCTTGAAAATATTCCGAGACCACATCTACCAGGAGATCCGAACATCCAAATTTCATCACACATTAAAGGTCAAGGGAAAGAGCAACATGAACCGGAAGGGGAAACAGGGCAAGAAGTAGAGATACAGTGGGCGTTGTTGTTGTTGTTGTTGTTGTTGCTGTTGTTGTAGCTAGCACTCTTGCACTCGAGTAAAATAGTTTTGAGTTGTCGCACGTGATGCGTTTAGGAGCTGATTGATTGAAGATTTAGGAGCTGATTTTGGATTTAAGAGCCGATCGCAAAGATTTAGGAGATGATGCCGGTCAGCTCTTAAAATTAGGAGCGGATTTAAGAGCTGATTGGAAGATTTAAGAGCCGATCGCGCGGTCGTCTCCTGAATTTAAGAGCTGATCGTTTCAATGCAGTCGTGGTTTCCGAACATTTTTCAGTCGCGCACCCGCGCGACTACCGTTCCACAACGGTCCAGTCTGGTGGGGGCAAAAATCTAAATTCTGACTTGAGAAGCGCTGAAAGATAGTCTACTTAACGTGTGCTTTCCACCACGAAAGATCTTCTCCGAGGATGTTTGTTCCACAAAGATCTTAGGGAGTTTTGCGCGCACCTCGAGTTGAGTCGAGTCGAGTGAGTCAAGTCGTGGTGGCCTCGAGGTGATTTTTTGCATGAATGCCACGATCACTGCCGCCATGACATGCATGCAATACTTTTGCTCCCGATCAAGCATGCAGGGTTGATGCTTGGATGTAAGAGATCTCTGCCTACAAGACGAAGAAGATGATTTCGTTACAAGCATCGTATCACAAGATCCTCGCATGCATTGCTGCATGCCATGGCTCGTGGTGGTACCGGTACATTCCTCTCGAGCCGTGCAGAAAACGTCGAACTATACTTACGTATTCACTGTTGCAATGGAGTGTTCTTTGCTTCATCATTCTATCTTTCATTCCTATTACCTATTCCGTATACTGTACACGGACTGCGTCAATTAATTGATCATGACTGCTCCACCCGCTGCTTGTCGAACCAACGCTTGGGTGACGGGAATGGGCGCCTGCGTAATATTCTCGTAGGTCAATTCGAGGACCCGCACACGATCATGAGCAGCAGCAGCCGCAAATCCCCGAATCAGTTGATACCATTGGTCGTGTGCAAAGGCAAATTCCTCGGCCATGGGTGGCACGTCTTGAGCCAAATCTACCTGTTGTCGATGTTGAGGGGTACCGTGGGTATCCCAATCCTTGTGGTGTCGGGCATACCATTTGGACCGCCATCGCTCTTCGGCATGTCGTTCCAAAATGGCCATGACAAAGCGAGTGTCGTGAACTCGAGTGATTGGAAGTGATGATTCTACATCACGTTGTAATTGCTGAATCATGGACTTTAAAAAGAGCGAGTGCTGCCAGAGGGCGAGATGTGTGTCAAAGTGTTTGTAGACGATCCAACAATGATTGTGGCAATTGTTATGGGTCGTAGTAGTAGTGTTGTTGCTGTGGAACAGCAGTAGTGTTTCTCGACATTTGCGACGACCGACTTGCAGGACAAACTGCGCGAGCAGATCTGGATCGACTTGAGTAATGGGCAAGTGGGCAAAACCTAGGTGGTTGGCTTCGATCGCCCAGGCGTCGCCCGATTGCATCGCGGAAGGAGCCAAGACTTCGTTGAGATTGACGTGACACTCGTCCATTTGAGCCAGGATATCACGTGCCAAAAAGGAGGAAGACGATCGTTGGGCGGATAGCACGGCAATCACGGAAATGGAAACGTCATTGTCATCCGCTTTGTCATTATTAGATGACTCTGCTGTTACATTGATGGTGGATGTTTCTTGGCCCTCTTGCTCTTCTTCTTCCAGGAACATAGTATTGATCAAATCTTGTTCTTTGGTTCCAGCCGTCTTGCGACGCACTCCATTGGCATTGGAACTACTGGCACCACTCATCATGAAGGGATTCTGACATACAAAAGTCAAGACCAGGAACAAACCCAATTGCAGCAAACCTGCTAGTAAACAAGCTCTCAAAGAGTCCATCTTTCTTCATATCCTTCTAGCTTGATGTTGTATAGGTAGTCAGGTAGCTAATAGGTACCGGTGGATCAAAATGAGTTGGGTATCAAAGCATCCGGCCAAAAAATGCTCCCTCAGGTTTACCGAAACCTCATTTATCCTGCACCCTAAGGAAACGCATGTGCTGACGTCAGCCTCATTTTTCTTCCGGATCTCAAACCTCAAACACACCGCCATTTCGAAGGCAACACTATAGTAAGGACCTCCGCTCTCTGGAGCCCATTTAGTTCCCTCCGACCCATATATAGCAACTTCTTCGTAATAGTAAGGACCACAATGAGCCCATCGAGAAGTAGCATCCCAGCTCATCTTTGGGTTTTTACCGTCTTGGTTTCATGTCTGTGCCTTATCGGGACTTGCAGTGCCTTCCAGACAGCACCTGTACCACGCAATCTTCATCTGATGTCACCATTATCATCCTCAACCTCAACGTGTCTCTTTGGAAAGGGATTTAAGAACAAGCAGGCCTTGTTGGCACAAAAACTACAACTGGCCAAACAGCAGAATAAAAAGGAATCCGATTCAGTAGAAGAAGTAGAAGAAGAAGAAGAAGTCTCATCAGCAGAAGAAGACAAGAAGGAAGAAGACGATGCCCATCAAGAGTTCGCCCGACTATTGGCCAAAAATCCACCCAAAAATCCACCCAACCCTACCACCCGCAAAGAACCCTCCTTGTACAACCTGACACCCAAAAAGCCAAAACCAATCAGCATACACCCAAAACAAAGAAAGACGCCGTTCCGAAAGACGAACAAGAATCAACCAAAGGGTGGCCAAAAAAAGCAAGCACAAGAAGAAGACTCCACGGACGACATGGTAGTACTCCAAGTGGGTGACAATGCCCGGCGACGTGATTTTGAGCCCTTGATGGATCCCTCTACATCCTCGCCTCTGGGGCCACTCCGTGCCGCCCAACTGGTACCGTGGGTGCCACCCTTTTTGACGGATCATCTCATTGTGCTCGCCGATCCCAGAAGACAATCGAAAGACTTGCGTCTCGCCATGGAATATCTACAGTCGTCTCAACAATCCACCAACAAGCCAAAGAATACCCGGATTGCCATTTTCCCCAATGATCCTCCAAAGGATGTACTGGCATGGAAGGAACGAGTCGACAAAGACAACCACAACAAAGAGACGCTGCATGCCTATTTGGATTCCTCGTCACTGGACTGGATGACCACCTATGCTTGTGTGGACGATTGGTCCTTGCATTTACTCATTATCGACAATGATGGAATCATTCAATGTCACAAGAGTGGAATTGATCCATCGGATATTTGTCAGCTTGTCGCGGATTCAGTGGCTGCCATAATGGAGAACCAGTAAGGGGTGGGCAATCTTGCTTCAGGATGAGTGGAGCAGGAAGGAAATCAGGTCTGCTAGCCAGCAAGAACAGGAATCCTCGAATCCATTCGAGTCAATTGTTCCGCCCCCAGAAGAAACGAGATAGACAACACAATCAACAATCGGAAAGGCTACCATACCGAAATCCCAAGACCGTCGTCAGCCCCATCCACAGTTGGATGGTCGGAAGGGCATCTTGTACCACAAATATATTATATTTCCCTTTCTTGGCATGGGATTGTATACCGTATATGTTGCTGCTGTCGGAGCCGTAACAACAAGGCTGAAATCGTCCGTCAGAAGATTCAGGACAGAACCCGCAACAGAAGAGAGAGACACTGTAGGTTTGAAACTCACATTTATCTTATTAGTTATCACGTGCTACAACAACAGGTGGCCGGACAAGCTGTCCTCCTCTCACTTCTCATGCTTACTTTCGCTAGCTAGCACTATAGCTAGCAGTCTATCACGGTTCCTTCGTCTTCCTCCATCGCCTGAGGGGTTCTTGCTGGCAGACCATTCCTAACAGGCATTTGATTCGGCTCGGATCCTTCCATTGTCTTGCTATCATCATTTACGGCCACCACTGGAGGTACAGTTTTCGCGGCTTACTTCTTCTTCTGGGTCAGCTTGACAGTATGCCACACAAAAAACAAGAATCACAAGCACGATGATGACAACAACAATCTCTTCCACTTCCAAACTTGAAGCAGAAGATGATGAGGAAGATGATGAGGACCATTTGCGAAAGCCTTTGCTTTTTGCGCCCGCAGCAGGAACCAATGCGGCACCAAGCACCTGCAAGAAGAGGAGGGAACGGAACAATAAGGACATCATGGTGCCAGACTGAGCAAAAGGAAGAATGGGGTGGGGTCTAGTTGGCCTCTCGGGTGGATGAGAAGTGTGCGTTTGATGATTACATCCACAAAAAGTGAGAACGAAATTAAACCATGGGAGTCAGGTCGTCAGGTATAGTACTGGTACCGATTGGAAATGCATACCACGTCTTGGAACCCTGCTCGTCTTCATAAAAAACAAACCAGCAGCTACCGGTACTGACTGTAACTACATGTACTAAGGCGATCCGAGGTCGGGGGTCTGCCTAAGTAACCAACTGAGGGCTTAAGAGAGAACAACCTGGGAGGTTGCTTGTACCCATATTGGGGTAGCTACTGGTAGGAGAGGGCAAGCCAAGGTGCCCAGGGAAGAGACTCAATGGTAGAGCGAGCTACCAGATTGTTGCAGTGGGCGAGGGCAAAGGCTGACCTTCATCTGCACGCACCCTGTACTTGCGAAGTAGCTGCCAGTCGTGGTCATTTCAAAAACTTCGAAGTGGGCCGATGCCCTGGGTGTGGATGCCACCGGTGCTGGCTGTCTGGAAAGTGAGCGAGGAAGAACCGTACACTTATGGGTGAATGGAAAAGGCACGCAACAACTGCGAAATGAATCGAATGATCGAATCCATTCGAGTGAATCATTACACCCCCAGAAGAAAGCTGATGGACGTCACAATCAACAATCGGGAAGGCTACCGAAATCCCACTGTCCTTGTCCGTCAGCCCGATCCACAGTTGGATGATAAGAAGGCCGTCTTGGTCATTTTTGGCGTGGGGCTCATCGTTGCTGGAGCGGTGACAACTAGGCTGAATCGTTCGTCAGAAAATTCGTACTTTCTATATTATGGACACTGGTTTGAAACTCACATTAATCTGATTATTAGTTAACATGTGCTACAACAGGTAGCTACAGTAGATTCACACCACTAAAGATTCAGTGAGGCTCGGCTCGGGAGAGCTTTTCTCTTCTCATTTCTCATGCTTCCTTACTTTCCCCAACCAGCTACCCAACCAGCTAGCCAGCTAGCAGTCTAACACAGTTCCTTCACATTCCTCCATCTCCTGGGGAGTTCTTTCTGGCAGACCATTCCCAGCAGGTGTTTGATTCGGCTCAGATCCCTCCATTGTGTTGCTATCATCGTTGTTGACAGCCACCACTGGAGCCGGAGGTTCAGTTTTCGCGGCTTGCGCGTTCTTCTTGTTCTTCTTGCACGCGACAAAGGCACAGCATCCCACACAACAACCAACAATCACGACCACGGCGATGACAACAACAATCCAAATCGATTGCTCTTCCTCTTTCGTACACACGCGGCCATTGATGCAACAAGAGGCGCCGCAAGAAGTCGCATCCGTGTCATCGACGCGAGACGAAGAAGATGAGGATGAGGTGCTGAAGCCTTTGTTTGTTGCGCTGGCGGCAGAAACCAACACTGCACCAAACATCTGCAATAAGAGCACGGAATGGAACAAGAAGGACATCATGGTGCCAGACTGAGCCAAAGAAAGAATAGAATCCAGGTGGTCTCTCGGGTGGTTGGGAAGTGTGTGCTGATGAAATAATATCCACAAAAAGTGAGAAGTCAGCCAGGGCGGTTTGGTCCGTACCGATACATGTACCAGTACCGCCACACCCACACCGACACATGCACCGGACGCGTTGGAGTCTTATCGGAAATCCATGTCCACGTCTGTAAAGGAGTCTGGAACCCTGTTCATTTAATTATTTGTATGCATAGCTCTGGTAGCTGCTCCGTATATTTTCTACAGCAAGTTGAAGTTCAAAACACTGCTAGCTAGTACTCAGACAGGGAGATGGGAAAATGGCAGTTTTCTTGGCCACTTTTTGGGCTAATTTGTGGTAGACCCTTGACAAATAAATTCTTTCAGAACAACTGGGCAATGCAAGGTTGGTTGCTTGTACCGGTATCGGCTGGTTCTGGTAGGAGAGGGCAAGCCAATTGAGCGCATGGAAGAGAACCTCTTGTAGAGATAATACCAGATCGATTATCATTCAGTGGGCCAGGGCAAAGGCCTGGCTCTCATCAGCACCACATACTTGTGAGGCAGTTGCCAGTCGTGGTCATTTCAAACTCTGGAGTGGGCTCCTGCAGATCGATACTCCTGGGGAGCTACCGTACCGGTAGCCCAGTAGGTGGTACTGGTTGTCTCGAAATTCTCAATTAGGGCACATCAGAATGGATACCCGTTGGGGTCGGCAGTGGCACTTGGAGCAATCCGCATTGAAAGTTGCGCGCAATCACGTGTTTGTTCGGTTCCTTGGACAATGACGGTAATGCGTTTGAGATGTTTATTGACACCAATCCCATAGTCCAATCGCGTGTTTTCTTGCTTGTCGTCAAATTCCATCAAGGCAATTGCTGTCATCATCGTGGCAGGTATCATGAGCGAGCGCTCGTAGCGTTGCAGAACTTGGTACCAGCCAAAGTCGGGACTACCAAAGGGATAGTTGGCGGCGATATAGTCGTAGTTGTCTCGCACAATCCCCCAAAGTCGCAGGGGTGCAATTCCGTCGTCATGTCACCGTCGGCGCCGGTACAAGCGTGCAGTTTCTCCAAGACGCAATTGGAGTGCTTCAGTCGACCCACCCGATTTTCTCGTGGCAAAAAGGTAATGTGATACGACACAAAGGATGCCATCATCATTTCGTGCGCTTCATCGTACAGGTTCAACCAAGCGTGTGCTTCGGTGGTTCGGCTTTCCACCACCAAGTTTTCGTTGCCGTGCATGCCTACCCAAGCTCCCGCCGATGGAAGATTTCCATCTTGGAAACACTGTGGGACGTTCCCAAGCAGAAAGAGCAGACTTGGGTTCCGCTTTTCGTCTCGAGTAAGTGGTTGGTACCCTGCGGAGCGGCGAAAGTCATCTCGTCATGGTGTATTGACTGCTTGTGAAGCTCTGCACTTGGCCACAGCGCTTGCGAGAAAACGAAGCATTCATCTCCTTTTCGCGTAGAGGTTCCCTCCATTGAAAGACTTTCCTCCTGACAAGGAAGAAGACACCATGACGTGGCTACCTTGGTTTGTCAATCGTGGATATTGCACCTCCGCACCTCGACATTGCAGAACCGGCACCTCGGCCACAAGCCAGCTGGCCAGGAACAAGCTACCGTACCAAAAAGATGTTGTTGTGAAGGGGGTCTAGCTAGAGCAGGGAAGTTATCAATGGAAGCCAGCAGAGGGCCAGGCTTAGGCAAAGAGACTACTTCCCGTGGGAGCAGGGGCCATAAACTGGGGACCAACACAAGGGCCAATGGCTTGAATTTGCAGGATCCATGGAGACATAGATGACCCAACCCACAAAGCAAATCAACACTATGCAGCAATCCCTCAGTTCATGAAACAACGAGAGATTGGCTCACTACTGTGCTTGCTGCATGCTCACACTGCGTCCAATGAAAATGTCCTTTCATTTGCATACCTCATGGTAAGGGCATCAATACTCCTCCCGAGGAAGCGTTGCTCTGTGGCTTCAACCGTAGGCACCGCAAACACCGCATCAAGCCTCTGCTCAAAGCGACATCCAAGAACCATCCGGGAATAGATCTCTGCTGGGACAAAAGGGCGCCCCAAAGATTTGAGCACATTGAATACCATGGGTGTGTTGAAACACCTGTACTGCCGAACTCGACAGGGATAGATGCCACCCACATCATTCCAATATTGCTCCGAATACTTCATGTCACAGGATTTGGGAACCCACTGGTATCCTTCACATTCCAGCATTATGATCATACCTCTGCGGACCGATTCTAGGTCAGGATTGAGGCATTGGTTCATATAGAAGGCACCAGCAAGGGATGTTCTGCAATTTTCCTGGTCCTTCATGGAATCTATGTCAATGGTGGCCAAATCCAAGACATGGACATAGCAGCCTTCTTCATGACTGAAATTGAATGAAATGTTAGTGGCAGGATTCAAGCGCAGCAACTTCCGAAGTTTGACAATGCCATCCTCCAATGTATCCCGAATATCATATTCTTCTCTACTGTACTACAGCTTGCTGGCAATGTCCACAGCAGTGGGAATGTCATCTTGGTGAATGATGGCCAGCTGCGCATACATAAAGTCAGAAAGATTGCAGATTTCTGGATCAGCTTCAATCACATCCTTGATGTCCAGAGCCCAGTCTCTTTCTTCTCTTGAAAGCTGCATTCGACGAGGGTCATTGTATCTAAGGATCCTTGTGTTCAGAGCATCTTGGGTTACCTCTTCCATGTCATCATCGCCCTCTTCATTGGCTCCAGCGTCATTGCCAGCATGGCCGACAACACCCGCTTCTAGTTCAGGTATCTCAGCGTCGATGTTCATGACCTGTGGGACTCGTTCAGCACAGAAGCTGCAGTTAATAGTAGCGCGAGTACGAAGCTCACGAGTTTGGTTGTCTCTCGGAGATTCCAGCACGCGAATGCCACACGCTACGGCGAAGCCTTTCAATGCAGTCGTAACACTGATGTGCCCTCCTTCAGATTGGATGCTGAAACTATGGGGGGAGTGGAATGGAAAAAGTTGCCTTTTGTCCTCTTTTGGGTTGCCACTGGCTAGCCACCAGGTAGCCACTCTGATAGATACTGTAATAAGATCAAACAGAAGAAGAAAGAAAGGCAACGATCGATGGCGGATGGCAGACGGCAGCTGATGATGCAACTGTCTGTTCTAGTCTCATGTTTGCCCCTAATCCCTAATACGCATGTGCAGATGTGCAGCCCATGTGCACTTCTCCACTTCTCCAGCTCTGGTAGCAAGAATAGTCTGGAATGAGAGCGAAATGAGGTACTTTAACTAATTTGGTCTCCAGAAGGCCCAGAAGAAGCACGTTTGGAGATTCGGTTGCATTGGACTCTTTCGACACTGTTCCTAAACTGCGAGGGGTCCTCAGCGATCCAAAGAATCCTAATGATCTCGCTTTGCATCTTCACGTGTATCTTAGTTGTATACTCCTTCGAGGAATTCCCCGACTCCGGGAATTCCTCCACTATTCCTTCAGGGTTAGAAGGAAGCATTAGAGGGAAAGGGAATGGGGGAAAGGAATTAACTGCCAGTACCACTAGTGACTCCACGTAGACTTGTGTAGAACAGTACTGATTCATGACTCCCAGTCATGTTCATGACTGGACAGTCTTGTTCCTGCTCCTTCGAGGAATTGGGGAATTCCTCCATTCCCCTCAGAATTCCCCTGCTCACAAAAGGTGAAGGAATAAGGAGTATACAACTAAGACGTGTATTGATTCTTGATTCTTTTCTCTTTTTGGCAACTCAAAACGGCTTTAAAAGCGCTGGACTCTATTCGGAACATCCCAGTGACTGTGCATTATGTATGGCTCCTGCGATCGAAAGGATGCCACCGTAGAGCCATGTAAACTTTGTACTAGCATGGCTGGCTCGCATGCTGACGCAGGAAGAACAATGGTTTATTTAACGACACCACTCAAATTCATTTAACGAACTTCAACTATAATATCCCCAACCCTAATACATTTTACACCTCGATCCTCCTCTCCGTGTCGATCTGTTCGTGCGGTCGATCGATCCATCGCAACACATCCTCGAGTACGGAGAGGAGATGGAGATGTTCTTGTCAACAGGCTTCGATCCTCTTTCAACCTTGCTACTATTGTTGTCATCAGAGCTTTGCCATGAACCCAGTCGATAGCTTAATCCTTGGTTTGTCCGTAATCTTGGTCTAGCCATGAAAGATGAGAGATGAGAGAAGATGAGGCGATTTTCCAAACTGGATGAATTGCACATCATGTGTCAAAATTTTGGAGGCGAGGTTGCCAATGATGGGAAGACAAGAGGGAGTTGTTCTTGACCATGCCGCCCATGCACAGATTCATGCGGTGGTGATGTAATGTATTATTGACTAGTGCGGCATGGTGGTACAAACAAGACGATCAAGACGATCTTCCAACCAGGAAAACAATGGTGTCTCTCCACGGCGTGTTGTGCTGAGTGGGAGGCACTATGCGTCGCCAACACAAGCTTCTCTGCAAAGAGATGCAACAAGACAATCAACAAGAGTTTCCACCAGCAACGGCATCTCTCAACCGATCGTTGCTCTTGGTAGGAGAAATTACGAGTCACCCACGCAGTGTTCCCGACAAAGAGACGCAACAGGACGAGTCGCTGCTGCTGGCCACCAAAAGAGGAGATCTAGCCAGAGGACTCCAGTAAATGGAACTCCTTTAACTCCAGCTGTGAAAAGACCCGCGATTGTCAACACTGGTAGCAACCAAAAATCTACATCACGCATCCTGTTTGATTCTTTGCCAATCGATGCCGAAATTATGGCCAAGTCTATCGTAGCCCTCTTCCAGAAGAATACTGAGATTCAGAGTTGCTGGTGGCTGCTCTCCACAGCAGTGAATGTCTGCCATCGTCTAGCCAACTTCCATCCCAAATCACCTCTCATTGAAGGAAGCTACGGGCTACAATTTACCTTTGAGACGGCACTTGCTGGCCTCCAGCAGCACAATTGCGTTGATGCAGGTTCAATGAAAAATCGATCAAAGGAAATATATATCCACACATTCAAAGAAACGACTGCTGTGTACGCTGATTTTTCTGCAGCGGTTCCTTGGATACCTCCACTGGCGGTGTCAGATACTCCCCGTTGGTTGAACCTACTGGAAATGCAGAGGCTATCCATACGACCGTATCTACCTCTGGGGCTCTACAAGCTGTGCAACTTTTGGTACTCTACGGAAGCTGAGAAGTTGTTTGGAGCTCGAGAAGACGAAACAGCAGAGGAGGCAGCACGGAACCTTCAAGCAATTTTGATAGAAGGAGTGAAGACTGCAGGTGCTGCGAAAGATCTTATCGTTGGGCTTGCCACGGATGATCCTCCAACATATTTCATTGATAACTACGATGGAGAGCTGCTGGAGCTGAAGTTTGATCCCGCCCGAGTGGATAAGCTTGTTCATGCTATCCAGATCAAATCATATTATTTGCTTCGAGCAATAACTCTTATGCTGGAAGCTGATGCCGAGAATGAGCCACTCTGTTGGAAGGGCAAGTGCGAGCAAGCAATGGTTGCTGTACAAGCCAATACCAGAGACAAGTCCATCAGTAATTACAAGGCAATCCAAGAGTGGCTTCGGCAGTTTCGGGAGCATCGTCGATTCAACAACCCACTGATGAGGGAGCGTATCGGGATATCCCTTTTTGTGAACCATCCAGAAGCCGCAACCGAAATGAGGGACCACGGCAATCAACACATTCAACAACTGTCTGTTGACTTTATGCAAGCCTTTCTCCGCTCTAACCTCATTCCAAAGCTTGCCGCCAAGGAACATGTTTCCGTCGAGGAATTCTTACTGTCGAATGGTTTAAAGAATATTTGCTGCAACACCACTCACCGTTGGTTGACATTCCTTGGATTTAAGAGGAGCCTATACAAGAAGGGCTTTTATACAGACATTCATGAGAGACCTGACGTTGTCTCTTCAAGGATAGAGTACTGTATCGAGTTGATGAAGTTAGAGTTACACTCGGCTGTTTGGGTTCAGCTGCTCCCATTCAGAGTACAACAACTGAAAGAGACCAATCGAATCTACCCCAACAATGATGGCGTTCCTATCCTCCATCAAGGCCAAACCTTGTTTGAATTTCATGTTGACGATATTGTGGACTCTCATAATCTTCCGGAGCTCCAGGGGAATCGGTTTGGAGGAAACTACAGCCTTCGACTGCCCGCCAATGCCAGCCGTACAATTGTTTGGGGGCAAGATGAAGTTGTGTCGAATGAGAAGGCAATGAATTCGATGGCGTGGTATGGGTCAGAGGGACAACAAGCGCTCCGACCCAAGGACCTTGGTTGCTCTATCATGATATCTGGAGTGGTTAGCAGGGAGGCAGGCTGGATGCCTATTCCAACACCAGAACAGCTACGATTGATTAATGCAAACAGAGCTGGCAAAGACTATGTTGCTAGAGATGCGGCCATTGTTGTCCAAGGCAGCGCTGCCAAGCGTCCCTTCACAGAAAAGGATATCCAGAGTCGTTGCTGCCGGTGGCCTCTCCACCCAGGACAGAACAATGAAGGCTACTGGACAAACAACCACACTATCGTCCAGCTCGAAAATATCGCAGATATGGCTGCTGTCATGTACCCTCACCACAACCATGTTATATGTTACGACCACAGCCAAGGACACACAGCAAAGTGGAAGGATGGTTTGGACGCATCTCGTCTCAACAAAGAGCCTGGTGGGCAGCAACCAAAGATGCATGAAACCACTCTGACGGAAGGCTGCCTTGGTCCTTTTGACAACAACGGATGTAGACTTTCTGTTGGTGCGGTCCAGCGATGTGTATTTTCAGAGGACGACCAAGGCCCAAGTTGGATGTCCTCCGAACAGCAATCTACAACCAAATACGACCAAGAGTTCGAGGGTGAAACTGCGACGAGAGCTCTAAGGTCTAAAAAAGAAATCCACGCTCACCTGATCCACAAGCTTGGAAGCAACACTGCCGGGCTTCCATCTGATCCCTCGCGCACTTCCCTAGCGTTCCTCCGAGACATTGCCAATCAACACTGCATAGATCTATCCGTTGAGGAAGTCAAGAAGCAAAAAGGATGGGTCAACACTCCAAAAGGAGCTCTGCAAATGTGCATTGAGAGAGGCTTGGTTGACTTGGAGCTTGTGAAGAGACGAAAAGGGCACTACACGATGCCTGGGAGGAAAGATGCCAAAGGCAAGTTGATCGAGGGAACAAGCCTCCGCATGCTGCTCCAAGGATGCGATGATTTCAAGAAAGAAATCTCTATGCTAGAGTGGGTAGCCGAGCAGTATGGATGGCGAGTTATCTTCTCTCCAAAGTGCCATCCAGAAATCGCCGGTGTTGGCATTGAATACGTGTGGTCAGTGTCAAAAAACTGCCTTGTTCGGATCCCATTGCCACAGCGAAAAGGAAAGGATCGCTTCACGAAGCAAGTCTTGGATGTGTGCTTCCACAGTGAGAAGACGCTGACGAAACAAACGGTGCGAGGCTGTGCACGGAAGGCGCGACAGTTTGTAATTGCCTATTTGCTTTTGCATGCAGTCGAAGCAGCCACAGACGAAGGAACCGGCGGCACAAAGCCGCTCACTGGAGAGGTGTCGATTGAGACGATGCGAAAGAAGCAATCCGAGCTGAAGTTTGCGACGATACGAGCAGCCCAGAAAATGTATAAGCGGCACCGAGGTATTGTGAGCTTGCTTTGCGACTAGGCCATCGCTTCGCGTTTCGATTGGTCGGCATGAATAAGAGCAGGACGGAACAGCTTTGCAACGCGCCTGTTTTCACGGTGGAACGGCATTGTAACTTGGAGTTTCGTAATGGTAAAGCTTCCCACAAACGTCACAACGTCAACCAAGGCTCTCTGCGGTCCATGAGCACCGTTCATCGTCTGGACGGCTCTTGTTTTGTTAATACTCCAGTCGGCTAGAGGCGGCAAATACAAGTGAGAGACGGTGGAGTTGCAACCTCCATCCACTTGAAGCCGAAACTGACAAGTTGAGCCCCGCAACTTCTGAAAGGTGCCCTGACCAGCCACAGCCTTGCCGGAGCCATCAGCCATCCAATAGTATACATTGCACTGGACGACCATGGCAACACCATGTCCATCCCCAGCATCAGCCATGACAGGATCCCAGAGCTGATTCATTGCTGCTCTTCTGTGTGTAGTTGTATGTAGCTTGTTGGCTGTTGCCGTCGGTGGGTGCTGTTGCCGTCGGTGGGTGTTAGCTGTCGTTGGCTCAGTGGCTGTTGGTGCCGGAGGTGGTGGCTTGTTGCTGCTGCCGTCGGTGGAGACAGTGGCTGTTGGTGCACTGTGGCTTCTGCTGCCGTCGGTGTTTTGTTGGCTGTTGCCGTCGGTGGAACGGGCTAGCTAGCTAGCTTTCGGTGGCTTGTGAGCTGTTGCTGTCGGTGGAATTGTGGGCTGCCGTCGTGTCGTTTGCTTGTGCTGCCGTCGTTGGTGGCTGGTAGTGGCTTGAGCTGCTGTCGTGCTTTCAGTGGATTGGGCTTTTGCTGTCGGTCGGTAGATTGTGAGCTGTCGGAGGCTTGAGTTATTGCTGGCTGGATTGTGGACGAGTGGCAAGTGTGGCGTGTGGCGCCTTCACACAAAAGCGGCGGCAAATTCAAATTCAAATTGATTGGTCGTCGTCGTGAGAGGATCAGTCCTCATAATCTCCTCATCCAACAGATCAAATCATTCATCATGGTCAGCAACAAGTCCTATCGTCTTCCATCCGCCGACAAGGTTGGTTACAGTGAGATGAAGAGGCTCACCCGTCGCATCAATGAAGCTCTTTTCAATGACAATGATGATGCCCTTTCCAACCACATCTTCATCCATCACGACCCATTCTCCCAGAGCGAGTTGGATGAGGTCATGACCTTCATCAGCGGCCATGCCATTGTCACCTCCGTCAAGCACACCATGGACGCCATTGAGACAACCACTGAAGACGGTCGGAAGGTAAATATCACTCTCTTCTTTGGCGGCATCTGTTTCAACCGCAAGATCATGGCAGCCAAGAAGGAAGCCAAGAAGCGAGCCACTCGGGAGTCCATTGAATCAGTGGACTCTGCTTTCGGAGACGAAGCCTTTGAGGATGTCACCGGTCAAGGATTGACACAAGTGGTTGGTACATTCGCTCCTGCTGCCGACGGAAAGAAAGAAGAGGGCTTGGATGCTCTTTTTGAACACGTCGACGAGTTTGACCTTGATGATTAGAGAGTCGAAAGACAATAGCAGCAGAGGCGTCAACATCAAAGAGGTATAAGAGCCGACGGAATAGTATAACAGTGGTAGCACAACAGCGACGGACGGAAGAAGAGGATAACAGCGACGGAAGAAGAGGATATCATCGTGGTGTTATTGTGCTTTATCGTCGGAGGAATGAAAGAAAAGAAAGAATAATAATAATAATATAGATGTCCTTTAAATGAATTTGAGTGGTGTTGTTAAATAAACCATTGTTCTTCCTGCGTCAGCATGCGAGCCGGCATTGCTGGTACTGATTCCTGTTAACCCTACGGCAGTATTTGGCTGATCGCAGGAGCCATATGTGCAAGAAGTGGTTTCAGCTATGCATAAACCCGCAGCCCGCAACTGATTGAACCAGAAGCTGCCAAAAAACAAAAATCACCGTCCTACTAGCTAGAAGCAGGACCTCACTAGCTAGCTTTAAAGCTACTAGTAGACACAGCTCGCAGAGCCATCCCTTTGATGACGTCGCCAGTATTGAAGAAGACAATGGCGTTGAAGACGTCCTCAACACAGGATCCTTGGTCTCATGGATCCCCAGCTTTCCAGAGAACAAGAAAGGGGTTGGAACAGACTTCATGTATACTCAACTGGCCGTCATTCATCGGCAGTAGAGGTTACTAGTGTCCTTGTTCGAGATGAATACGGCATTTGTGATACCTCCGAAGATGGCATTGCCAAGTTGCAAGCAGTGACAAGATTGCTTGCAGCCAGGGTGCAGCCAACTGAAAAGTTCCCAGTGTACAAGTACTGCCAGAACCTCACATCTAGACTACCTCACGAAGCGATCCGTTTGATGACGATGCCAGTATTGAAAAAGACAATGCCGTGGAATTGGTCACTCTAGCTAGCAGCTAGAGGTCCTCAAACCAAGGATCCTTGATCTCATGGATCCCCAGCCTCCCAGAGAAGAAAGGGATTGGGCTTTCGATCTCATGGGCTTGAAGAAATCGCTCCGCATCCGGATAGACTAGCTAGCTAGTAACGAGAGGCGTGGCTAAATCCGGGGCTAAAAGCTAGATTTGGGATGGACCGTTTAGCAGCTTAGCAGCAGACTTATTAGCTCATTCACGGCAGAGAGATTGCCAAAGGTGATCTGAAGCTTTGGCCACAACTTCAGCCACCACGTCCGCCATACTAGTATGGGTAGTCGGTGCTCTAAGACAAATACCGATGAAGGTACTGCCGAGTCTCCTCTTCTGTTGGACAAGAATGAGATTTGGATTCAAGACATTCTACCATTGGTTGGTGTTGGACAGTACGCTTTTGTGGGAGCTGTCAACAAAAAGATGAATCAACTGTACAAAGAGTACTGCAAAATTGAACTCAAGAAGAATACATAAAGGTTAAAGATATCCCCTACAGATGGTGTACTCCCAGTCGCTCAGTGACCCCAACAGACACACTCTACAGCGAAACATTCTGTAAACAGCCCCGTGCAGAATACTGGCTCAATGACAATTCCACCAGCAAAGGACCTGATCATCTGATCGTGATGAAGTTTGCATTGCAATCGCAAAAAATGGAAATATTATGGTCATGCAGTGGGCACGGTGAAGAGGATTTCCATGGAATAACCGGCCATATGCTGCAGCTTCTGAAAATGACCAGCTGGGAATGCTCCAATGGTTAAGAGAGAACGGTTGTCCATGGAATGCAGATACATGCACCCTGTTGAATCATGAGTATCCGGGACTGAAATTCGAAATCGACTGGACCACCAAAAGCGATTCCTCACTTTTCTTTTTAGACTGACTTTTAAAATAAGCTCCACCATGGCCAAACAGTCTCTCTAGTGTTTAACGCGTCATTGATCGCGTGCACGAAATGGCAGATCAACAGAAGATCGGGAGCTTAAGTATCAAGCATCGAAGTGACTCTAAGTTCAACGCGAGCCGTTGGCTCGCAGGAGTGGACGGGGAAAACGACGATGACGACGAAGACTGGAACGAATCTGATAATGACTCGGATTCTGACAGTGAATCAAGCTACGAAAGCGATGAAGATGAAGACGAATGGGAAGAATTGGACCAGAATGAGCTAGCGGATCTACTTGCTAGTGGATCGCGTCCAGTCCCAGTCGTTGACAACCAAGATCAACCACCAGCACTATTGCCTCGAGCGAACCAAGCATATGACGATGACTCGGATAGCAGTGATGACGAGGAGAGTGACGATGGTGAAGAAGCAAAGCAAGATGATTCTGACGATGATTCCGACGATGATTCGAGCGATGATGGCATTCCCGAAGGAATCAGAGAAGCCGTCAGGGAACAAACTCAGCGAATTGATGATACCATGGAGGAGATTCGGGCATCAGGACGACCAAAGCGTAAGACTAGGGTTCCTGACAGACTGAACCTCCAGCAGCAGCACGTGAAACCCACGAAGACTATGTTTGGCTATCACCTCACTATGGCGGATATCAAGAAAGGATTGTCGCCAGAAGAGAGAGACGCTATCATAGAAGACTGCCACAACATCACGGAACAACAATGTCCTCGGAAAGGAAGTGTTCGTGAGTATGATGAGATTGAAGGAATGGTTATGGCACAGTACATCAATGAGTTGAACGACCGCTTTCAACAAGGGAAGTATGGTCACAGTTACGGACAGCAATATTTGCTGGATGAAGGATTGAAAGTCTTTGGTGAACGTGGTTACAAGGCCGCTATGAAGGAAATTGGCCAATTGCATGATCGAGTTGCATTTGCTCCTCGTGATCCTGCCACGATGACTGAGGAACAGCGAAG